TTCGTTTTTCAGTATCCATTTCTAAAATGAAAATCCAATGACCAAAATATACACTAACCCTATTATATTTAGTAGACTAAATTGTTTAAATTGTTGTATTTATAATACTCATTCCTTCATTCATTTTCCTTCTGCAAAGTTTTTTATTCATCAGGAGTCACCAAAATGGAATGAACCGCCAACTTATCCAGCATATGATTTTCACAGCGGATGCCCTTTCAGCTGCAGCCCATCACTGGGAAACATCCACCGCACACACACACACACACACGCACACACACACGCACACACACACACACACACGACATCAGATACGCACAACATCACACACAACATCACACACACACACACACACGAAATCAGAGACACACACGACATCAGATACGCACACAACATCATATATACACACATACAACATCAGACACACTCACGAAATCAGACACACACAACATCAGACACACACACACACACACGAAATCAGAGACACACACGACATCAGATACACACACAACATCACACACACACCATGACACACACACACACACACACTCATACACACTCATACACACACACACACTCATACACACACACGTTTGCATACATGCACAAAGTCTTGCACATACACTTTTACACTCTCATATACATGTATACAAACACCCATGCATGAATACACATGTGCGCACATGCATATATACACACACTCACATGTACTCGCATACATGCACACACACATATGCATACACCCATATATGCACACACTTTCACACTCATACATACACATGTATATACACACACGCACACACACATAAAAACACATGTGCGCAGGCATATATACACACTCACATATGCTCTCATACATACACGCATATATGTGCTCACACTCATACATACACATGTATACACGCACATACATAAATACGCAAACATATACTCTCATACTTACACACACTCGCATACACCCCAAACATGCTCACACACACACTCATACATGCTAACACTTGCACACACTTACACACACACACATGCATACACATATGCTCGCACACTCTTTCACCCTCTCATACAAACAGGTACACGTATGTGTACACACACATGCATGAATACACAGAGTTACATATACTCACATGCACACACATATGCGTACACGCAAATATGCACAGTCATGCGCGCACACACTCTCATACATACACGTATGTATACACGCATACATAAATACACATACATTTGCTCTCAGACACACACACACTCGCATACTTATGCGCACACACACGCACACATTCATACACACATATATGCACACACACTCTCATACATACACACACTTGCACGCACTCGCACAAACATTCATACACGTATATATGCACACACACTTTCACACTTTCATACATATATATGTATACACACATACATGCACATGCGTGCACACACATATATATATACACACACTCACATATGCTCTCATACATACACGCGCACATACATACACTCATATATGCAGCCATGCACACACACTCACTCATACACATGTATACGCACACACGATTATACATATGTGCGTACACACACACACACACACACACACACACACACAAACTATATTCATACAAGCACATACATTCTCTCTCTCTCTCTTTCTCACACACACACACACACACACACACACTTGGTTGTTGGTATTCTCTGTCAGTCACAGTGGCGTCAGTGGAGGATCTCTGCCAAGCTCAAACTGCTGAATTCCCGCAGAAGCGCAGGATCTTCATTACTCTGCAATTAATAGTGGAAACAGCGCGCGAGTGTTCGTCTTCAGAGGCTCATTATCATCTCTCCACCACACAATGAGCTTGTTTGTGCTGCTGATTGGAGATGCTTTAGTCCTAATGTATTCTGCCTTTGATATACTGGAGCTGATTTGGCACTGGGATTTATACAGATTGAACTGTACGCATATGTAAATGTAAAAACAGCATGTGTGTGTGTGTGTGTGTGTGTGTGTGTGTGTGTGTGTGTGTGTGTGTGTGTGTGATGTGTATACTTATTGACTCAGGGGGTGATCCACATACGTTTGCTCTAATATGTTGGTCTTGGTCTGCATCCCATTTAAATCATTCTGTGCAATAGTAATGATGCATACTCTCAATTAAAGTCCAGTTTGATGTAGGATAAATAAAATAGGTTGCAGTAGAAGCATACTACGTAGATAAATGTACCCTATTGAATGCTAACAGATGGCTCACAGATGGATTGTAATGAATAGGGTGGGCAATAAATCAGTGTAAAGCGATATGGATATCTTTTGTTATTTTGTGTTAGGCATACAGCTTTACAATGCTTTATTTTTATTTGTGTCCCTTGATTTTATTGTGAACAAAAAAAGCTTTGATAGAATTGGAGTCTTAAAAAAATGTAGCATTTATATTTTGTAAGTGTACAATGTTTTTATTTAGGAAACAAAAATAATAAATACTTTATTAATAAAAATGTGAAACAACAAATAAGTGTATTATAGAATTAGAGGGTGATCATTTTGACTAGAACCTGACTAGAACGTTTGCTATACGTGTAGAGTGAGTATATAGTGTTTATTTTCTTATTTCTAATATAATTAAACCACATTTAACAACATTTTATTGTATACAGTGCTTTTGTAATGGGATATAAAGATGTTCAGTTAAGGCACAGGTGTCAAACTCGGTTCCAAAAGGGCCGCAGCTCTGCACAGTTTAGTTCCAACCCTGATTAAACACACCTGATCAAACTAATTGAGTCCTTCAGGCTTGTTTGAAACCTACAGGTAAGTGTGTTGGAGCAGGGTTGGAACTAAACTGTGCAGGGCTTCGGTTCCCAGGAATTGAGTTTGACACCCCTGAGTTAAGGGATTTAGGTGATTTGTGTTTGGTGCTTGTACTGTAATATTTCTATATTATTATTATCCTAAAGCTGGGGTCACCAATCTCAATCCTGGAGGTCCGGTGACCTGCAGGGTTTACCTCCAACTTGCCTCAACACACCTGCCCGGGTGTATCAAGTAAACCTAGTAAGACCTTGATTAGCTTGTTCAGGTGTGTTTGATTAGGGTTGGAGCTAAAATCTGCAGGACACCGGTGATCCCTGGCCTAGGGCTTGAGTGTGCACATATGTGGACAGCACATTTGAGCTCTTAAGTGGCTGTTTAAAATACTTTGAATGTTTAATATGTTGTTACAGACATACAGTGTCATCCTGCAACTGTTTTGCAGCATATGAAATGTCGCAAACACAAATGTTTTTAACTGTCCAAAATGGGCAAAAATTTTTTTTTTTAATCTCTGATAGTCAAAGCTAGTTAAAAACATGTATGTGTTATGTATGCACTACAAAAACAGTCAGGAAAAAGTGTTTTATGTGAATTCAGACTACGAGTACACCTATATGGACATCATTTTTCTCTAAAATTACATCATATCAAAAGATGATACTCAGGTTTTATTCTAATTAGGTTTCAATAAGCCCAAATAGCAAAGACAAATAAAAAAACTCCATGTAAAAAACACCTTGGGCCATAAGAGGTTATTATATATATATATATATATAAAATAATATTATATAAATATGATATATTATAATATAATATAATATATATTCTGATCTGCCAAACTGACCACTTTATCTGATTCACCTGCACTCTGCTCATATGTCTCTTGGGTCTTGTTTTTGTATTTCCAGTTTGTTATATTTGACTTCCTGTATGTTTCTTCATCTACTTGTAACATCTCTTTTTGTCGCATTCTTTGTAAAGTGTCCTTGAGCTCTGGAAAGGCGCTATATAAATAAAAATTATTATTATTATTATTATTATTATTTATTTATTTATTTAATTATTTATTTAATTGCTATTTTTAAATATTTTTATTTATTTATATTGTTTCGTGTTTTTATTTATTTTAATTAATCAATTGAAATATTAAATACACTATTTTTGTCTTATTTTATTATTGCTTTTATTTATTTATTTATTTATTTATTTTATTTATTTATATTAATTTTATTGTTTTTATTTATTTTTATTAATTAATTAATTAATTAATTAACTTATTAAATACACCAAATTATTTATCTTATTTTATTTTTGCTTTTATTTCTTTATTTTATTTCTTTATAATAATTTTATCAGTTTTTTTTTATTTTAATTAATTAATAAAAATAAAAATAATATGAATTAATTATCTTGTTTTATTTGCTTTTGTTTTTATTTATTTATTTATCAGGCGGCACGGTGGCTGAGTGGTTAGTACTGTGGCCTCACAGCAAGAAGGTCGCTGGTTCGAATCCCGGATAGGCCAGTTGGCATTTCTGTGTGGAGTTTGCATGTTCTCCCCGTGTGTGTGTTTGTTTGTGCGTGCGTGCATGCGTGCATCCGTCTGTCTGTCCATCCGTGTCTCCGTGTTGGCGTAGGTTTTCTCCAAGTGCTCCAGTTTCCCCCACAGTCCAAACACATGCGCTATAGGGGAATTGGACAAACTAAATTGGCTGTAGTATATGAGTGTGTGTGTATGGGTGTTTTCCCAGTACTGGTTTACAGCTGGAAGGGCATCCGCTACATAAAACATATGCTGGAATAGTTGGCGGTTCATTCCGCTGTGGTGATCACTAATAAATAAGGGACTAAGCTGAAGGAAAATGAATGAATGAATATTTGTTTATCTCTCTGTCTAGAGTACCAATAAAAACATTCAATCCATGTCTCCAACTCTAACCCTCTTCTGTTCTCCCTCTTCTTTGTCTTTGCCAGTGGGAGGAGATCAGCGGTGTGGACGAGAAGTACAAGCCCATCCGCACATATCAGGTGTGCAACGTGATGGAGCCCAGTCAGAACAACTGGCTGCAGACGGGCTGGATCTGGCGTCAGGGCGGCCAGCGCATCTTCATCGAGCTGCAGTTTACCCTGCGCGACTGCAACAGCATCCCTGGAGTTTCGGGAAGCTGCAAGGAAACCTTTAATCTCCTGTACGCAGAGTCAGACTGGGATCTGGGCCGCGTGTCCAGAGAAGACCGATACAGTAAAATCGACACCATCGCTGCCGACGAGAGCTTCACACAGGGAGATCTGGGGGAGCGGAAGATGAAACTCAACACGGAAGTGCGGGAAATCGGGCATCTGAACAGGAAGGGCTTCCACCTGGCGTTCCAGGACGTGGGCGCGTGTGTGGCGCTGGTGTCCGTCAGGGTGTATTACAAGCGCTGTCTGTCCACCGTGCAGAATCTGGCGGTGTTTCCGGATACGGTGGCGGAGGCGGCGTTTTCCACACTGGTGGAGGTGAGGGGGGCGTGTGTCAATAACTCTGAGGTGGACACAGACAGCCCTCCCAGAATGCACTGCAGCGCTGAGGGCGAGTGGCTGGTGCCCATCGGGAAGTGCAGCTGCAGCGCCGGGTATGAGGAGGGACACAGCAGCTGTGAAGGTTAGAGACACACACACACACACACACATAGATACATACATAAAACTATTTAACACTAAGTGGTTCACACACACAGTCTCATAAACGCACATAAATAACAATTTAAGACAGTAGTTTATACACAAACACAAATACACACAAACACAAACACATCGTGAAATATTCTCATAATAGCAGCACTTGTACAGCCTCTTTACCCTTGTGTATTATTCCTCCCACATAGTGACAGCAGATGGATAAACTCACTACAGTTTGACAAATATTGCAGCTGTTGGACAACATAATGTATTTTGAGGCTTTTTTAGTTGAGAATGTAGTTATTTAGATTGCAACTATGTACTTTATTTATAAGGATATCTACAGGGATTTCCCAATATTTCTCTGTTGCAATTTCGATATCACAATAATCAACCCCAAAAACGGCAAAGCAAAGCAAACACTACCAGATTACTGTGTTATAAATACAGCACTTCAAAGTACAAGAGAGAGAGAGAGTATCAGTATGTTGGATCCGTTAATCAGTGCTTACCGATTTAGAGAATAGCTCTCTTTGAACTGGACTTGGTAAAACTAAACACAAAACACATTTTCTA